TAAGAAAGGTTGAACTGCGTCTCCGATGGCTCCTATTACACCTAAAGCATTCTTGGCCATTTCTAAGTTGCTACTCGTACCAATTTCACCTAACGCATGCATGTTGGCCGATGCACTGGCCAACACTGTTGGCGTTGCCTCAATAAGCGACCTGGCCGAAGACATTGTTTGAAAATTTGAATTTGAATTTTTAATATTTTTTTTTGTTGGAAAATTTGTTCAAAAATGTCTCAAATATAAAGCTGGGCACGTGTTACGTTATACAAAGAATTTTCCAATGTAGGAGGACGATTGTGATTAGCAAAGCTCGATAGACAATAGATATAGTATTCACTTAACAACAATAGTAATAGTTTGACTTCGCCATCGTCAGGTGATTTGTTTGGCGCAGACTTGTATGCTATAACATTTTGTGTTGTGCATAGTGTAAGGTATTGCGCCTGGATCCAAACACGGTATAGATGGGATTGGGATGTATGGAACTTTTTCTTGGCGCATGTAGAAGGAAGTGAGGTTATGTTAATCAAATAATTCTTAATAAAAACATACCTATATTTGTATCCTATCAGGTAAACGACCTCTTTATTATTAATTATTCTCAAATAAAAGCTTTTGAGAGTCAAAATTAAATACACTTTTTGCTAATCACGATAAACAAAACGAATTTTTATTAAACAAACATTTAGAAATTCAACATTGAAATTTATATTTAATATTTCATATCGATATGCAATAACGAATTAAATATTGTGAATACATATTTACCCCTTATTTACCATAATTTGTTTTTTGGTTCTTTAATTTTCAGTCCATATGCAGCATTATCTATCTGCAGTGATTAATTTGATATTATTTTTTTGTTACGTTATATTATTACCATATTATTTTAGGAAAAAGATAATAACAAAAATTGGATTGGTTGTATATTATAATTCGTAGTTTTTGAAAAATGTTTTATATTTTATATTTACGTATATTTAATTAATATAAAAATTATTAAAATTTGAAAAATAATAGAATATTTCTTTATTTAAAAAATAATTTATATACTGTACTTTAATTTTTTTTTTACAAGTGCTTATAAATATACTATTCAAATCCACTACATTCAGAATGAAGTTTACAATTTTTTTAACAAATTAGAAATAATTTGTTATTCATAATAATTGAAAAAAATTTTTGTAAATCCTTTTTTTAACTTGAAAAAATTACAATTTATAAAACAAACTTTGCTAAAATTACTACTATTTTTATTTTATTGATTATCCTAAATAATTTTTGTTATTAAAAAGAAAAAACATATAAAAGATATTTTTAATATTAGTTTTATTTGTAATATAAATTACAAATTTTGAAAAAACCTTTAATTAAAAAATAAAATTTATATAATTAAATTAATAATTTAAAATTAAAAATTTAATTTTTAATTTTAATTTTATTAGCAATATTGTTAATAAAATAAAAAAAGTTTAATTCAATTAATATCTTGACAAATATTTTTTAAGAAACTGTTTTTTTTTAATAAAAAAAAAACAAAAAATATTTTGTAATTTTTTCTTATAAATAAATAATTAATTAAGTATAATAATTTTTATCTAATTTACGGAATCCAAGCAAGGACGCCAGTTCCACAGGTG